ACTTCCGATCTAATGCATTACCCCCCGCCTTCATAGTGTTATAAAAATATATAGAATCTTATCAGGTTTCTTTGATTCCTCTACTATTTTGTTGTCATGCTGCATAGATTGCTATACGAGAACATGTGTATTTGGTTTTGGAAGATACTACACTAAGGCTGTAGTGCTAGTGAACATAAACTTAGAATTCCTGGCTGTGTTTCCTTCTTATTTGGAACTACATGTTGGGTACTTGTTACTTATTTTTACGCTTCCTGCCGACATAGGTCAGTTGGTTGATGCGCAATTCTACGTGTAATTCTACTGACGTGAACCAGTCATCTGCTGTGATATTTCTGTTCGTATAGACGAAAGCATTGAGCAGGTAGTGGTGAGTCTTTGCATCATCAGTCCATACTATTCGGTTTAGTTTTCTTGTAGGCACAGGAAGGACATCGGCCCACGAGCATCTCGTATTTTGTAGGGGACTCACCCGAAATATAAAAATTTCGACAGTTCTCTATGAGTGCTCGAAAATTTCACGTATTTGGAGAAATTTATCTGCATTCCGAGTCACAGGGTTATTATTTTCCAAATTGGTTGCCACGGACTTTAGTTCAGGTAAATGCGTAATAATATTGTCGTCTGGATCGACCAGTTGCAGGCGCTCGTTTTGACCAATTGTACATGTTTTTTCCATAAGCATAGCGAGGTCGCCCATAGGAAGTTGTTCAGGTTGATCGATAACAGGTCGTCCTCGGCGTAGTCTATGGTGTATTGTTCATCCGTCAACAACGAAAAAATCCATTGTGAAGGAAGTTCAAATCGTACACGCAACTGACATCCTCGATCAAATTTGACCGCAAAGTCAACAAACCAACACTTGTGATGTTTAAATTAAACTGTGGTTTGAGGTATACGTGCTTATACCGTATGAGAAGTCACGGGACCCCCACCACATAACTGAGAAAGCTCGAATCATCCGACGATACCATTTAACGAATCTATAAAATCAAGTGGCTGGGTTTCAATTTACATAGCTCTTTGTATGGTCTTGTTTGCTGATCAACATTATATGCTTTCTAGACATGTTCAGCTGTGCAGCTTCTTCCACTTTCATATTAATGTCAATAGAGCATTTAGCCATTTTTGAATAAATCACAAATTGTAGAAATACTTTGAGCATGACTATAAAATGGAATGGACTTGATCCGTGAGTATTCTCCGAGCAAATCGTCTCAAGTGCGTTTTTGATCGTTGCGCCCTGATTACAAATAGTGCCAACGACGCACAAACCAAGTCGCTGCAAGTTTGTGATCACATGAACAATAATCGTTTCAGATCTGGGATTCTTGTATCTTTTACTAGATAATAAGCCACAACCTGCTTATAATTTTTACGAATCGCTCTTATCATGGAAGTAAGGGCATGATTTCTGATAAATCACTTTTACGGAGTTCTAGTTGATTTGTTACCTCAGAATTCAAGATTTATTAGCTGAAAATTGTACACTGTGAGCGGTTACCAAGACTAGATTCACAATCTTAAGTCCTAGGTGCTATCGTGGTCCGTGGGATCAGCCCTAAACTTTGTCCAAACCCTGCAATAATCGTAAACACTAAACAAGGGTAGACATATTTCTAGTTTAACTGCCTGAAGATTTTCTCTATGGTTTATACGTAACTCTCCACCTATTATCTCATTTTTGTACATGTTCTGGGAGAACTCAACTTGCTCCCTATAAAATGCAACGTCTTCCTGCACAGGTGGTTCTGGTTAAGTGCCAGCCTACTCCGGGTTTGTAATTAGTTGTTGCAATTTACTGATTTCGTCGTCATTTTTCATAATCCAGATTTCGTTTTGGCATTCCAGTTCAGCCATTTAATCCTGAAGCTCTTTTATAGTAGAATCATTATGGCATCGTATAACATTCCCGATAATCAATGATTTGGCATTACCGCCAAGAGCCTGTGAGAGCAGTCTAGTCAATTTCGAATCGCGATAACTGATAAACTCCTTACCCTCGCTTAGTTGCCTTATCACATTTCCTAATACTGACAAAGATTTGTTTATGTTAGCCCCCTCCTTAAGACGCTCACCAGCAGCTTTCGTCAGAGAAACTCTCTCAGAACCAGCTAAGTCCATTAAGTTAAGGTAGCTTATATGTACAGGTCCATCTTTCTGATTGGCATCTTTCGACTCCAGAATAATCCGGAAAATCGTGTGTGATCGAGATGACCTCTCATTCATGCGAGTAGCTGCAACTCGTCTGATCTTATTGCTCTGCATCATGTTCTCCATAACTTGATCAACATTGTCTACGACAGCTTCCCTTGCATCAAGCAGCACATTTCCTTTGATATCTTCTCTTATAGTTAAACCCTGATTGCTCTTATCCAGGAGGTCATTGATCTTTTCATTGTAGATTTCAATATAACTGAATCTAATCAAGTACCTCTTATCAACCTGGTCTGCCACATGCTGGAATAACTGATTGGATACTAATTGGAAAAGCCCAGGATCTGTTTTATTGCCCAAAATGGTGTGTGTTTTGCCAGAAGATGTTTGGCCTTATGCAAATATTGTTGCATTGAAACCTTCCATGAAGGAATCGACTAAAGGTTTTACTACAGATCCATATACATCTGAATTTGTACATTCCTGGTTAAATACATGGTCGAATATATAAACCTCTCCATGGCGACTACTTTCATCGGCTTCCCATATGCAGTTTTCTCTTACGTTCCAAAGACGCTCTAGACCATCGGCTACTTCGCGGTGGATCATTGGTCTGATCTTTATGGCTACTTTAATATTGTCGGAAGTCATTTTGGAAGCTTGAACTGAAATTTAATTAGAACTAGGGCTATTTCACGGGTTATAAAGAGGGGCAGATGTATCAGGATGATACATTCTTTTTTTCCTCCTTTCCAGTATAGAAGATTTTTTTCTCTTGTAGGCTATGAATGAGGTCCGATAGTTTAGTAGAGCTACATTTACAGGGTGACTCAAAATCAAAGAAGAAACAGAATTGTTAAATTTCATATAGACTGTTATTGTTATTACAAGAAGAAGTTGAAGCAGCAGCAAATTCTCACAAATCTATAGATCCATCACTTTCAGCACCTGATTTTTCAACTTGAAAAATGCAGCTCGGTGAAGAATCACAAGGTAACTGTTGTCTATTCAGACAATACTCTTCTAAAAGCAACGCGAAGTTACCTAGTGCCTTACATGAATCGCCTTCATAATTCTTCATTATTGTCAATGGAAAACTGAAATTGTTGATTATTACAGTTTTTAATGCTGCAAATAAGCAGATGGGGTTCGTGTTGGAAATCCCACGTCTAATCTCGCAAAACAGGTTATCCACCGGATCTTACTATCAACTTCTGAAATGCCATTACTCTTTTTAGCCATGTGTACAACAGGTTTGTACGCATAAAACACTCTTACATGAAAACTGTTTATTGTCTAAAAACGAAAATACCCCATTTGAAGATGAGTAATGCAATAAATATAATTTACGAAACTTGAATTGTAATATGAACATAAAAAAACTAACAAAATGGGCCATTTAACAACATATTTGGTGTTGATATTCTACAACAATAACAAATACTTTCTCGTATAAGGAAACGTACAATAATTCACATTTATCACTTTTCACGAAACAATGTAGCTGCGCTGTGACTTTACATACTTATTACAGATTGTAGAACATTTTTTTCATTGTGTATTGTCATGTAACACCTACGTCGTTTTTTTTGCCCTTTAACAATTGCATCAGGATCGAGAACTCTGGGCTGAGAAGTAGACGGCTTACTTTATTCGTCGTTGGTAATTTAGGATTCTTTGCATGGCTGAACGAAGCTCCCTAGGAAGTCTTGGATCTGATAAACGTCCTCTCATACGAAGTTAAATTAGAGTTTGCCTCAGGGGAACAATAAAATTTCGTCGCCTAATAGAACTTTCAGTCCCAGACTGAAAAAAAAGGAATTTACAGAAGCTGGTTGGATACCAAATAGCACAAGGCCATCTTCTCGTTCTCTAACCAGTATGTAATTTACACACTTCCGATCTAATGCATTACCCCCCGCCTTCATAGTGTTATA